GAAAAACGTTGGATAACTCTCCGAATAAACAAAAAATGTAATATTCGGGTTCGATAGATGTTACAAACCCGTACCGTACAACAAATTTTCAATTAAAACAACAGAATAAAGAAACCACAAATGAATTATTTATATCATCGGCATTGTGGTCAAGAACTCGATATGAAAATTATTAGGATTCTGGGTCAAGGAAACCCTAAGAATGCCAGTGGATTTCTTGGAGTATAGCACTTAGGTCATTCTGTAGTCAACAAACATATCGATATAGATCCAAATGTTTAACCATTGAGGAAAGGGTAAATCACTTACAGAATCACAGGTCACTTGAACAAAAACGTCATCCAAAATACAAGGACAAATGCAGACATTAAGATTTAAGAGATCACTGATTTAGAAACAGGGTCATCAGAATGGAGTAACTTTTTGGTGTCATAGTAACGAAACAAACTCATTTCTACATGAAATAAGTTATGACAATTCTGTCCAGAATAGCAATGAAAGCATTACAATTAAGCTCTGCACCAAGAAAGGCTCAATGCTGCTTAAAGTATTCACTTGAGATACAAATTTTCTTTACAGTTTCAACGTTTTCATGTACTTCATTTGATCAAATTACTTACATTCAGTAAAGACCATTATGAAAAAACATTTCAAATTTGGAACTAACTGGTTGTTTTACTTTAAACGTCATTCTATGTGTACATGAGATTGTAAGTGTACCATGCTATAGTTCTACGTAAATTTTACAAAATATTTAACACTATATAATATCCACAATATTTCTTGATAGTCCTCCATTGTTTTCAGTGATTAACTGCCTCACAGAATACACGGATGAACTCCACTGATCACAGCTCCTCACTTCTGAGGAGTCCCATACAAGGATGAAACGGCTGTCCGATGCTTCCAGGTTTTCAATGGTGGTCTAACATTGATCCATTCATGATATCAATCTAAGCTCAACAATCCGCACAAAACCTTACTGATAATGCATAATATTGTCAGAATAAGAAAACAATAACCTGAAACGTAAACAACTTCATTTAATGACTATCAGTCTGTAAATTATATAAAATCACATAAAAAACGTAGTTAGCATAATATCGAGATTTTTGCAACCATGTATATCGATTTCTTATTCTCGGTTCATTTATACAATACAATATATTTAATAGTTAGATTCATGAGTCAATTAAAGTTAGATTACCATGTAAAACCTGGAAGCATTGGATGGCCGTTTCGTTTCCCTGCGGGACTTCTCAGCAGTGCGCATCCATGATGCTGACCCGTGAGACTTGAACCCAGGTCCCATCGGTCTAGCGCGCGAATGCCTAACATTTAGACCACTGATCTGATCGGCATCCAACGATGTTAATGTCTATCATCAACCAATCCACAATACAATGTATTAAATATTAATTTTCAAATGAACATTAGAACAAACTTCCTACAAGTTATATTCTACATGTGTAATACCAAAATAAAATATTATTTCTTTTTTTAAATGGTAAATTATTAATTAACTTTTATGATATTTTTCCTCTAAAAATACAACATAAATAATAACAATTCAATAATGAATAACAAGTTGATAAGCTTTATATTAGAGTTAAATATTTAGTATCCTGTCATCTCCCCTTACTCTAATTGAATTAGCCAGATAGTAAATCTGAAAAATTTGAATTTTCAAAACAAAGATGGATAGTAGCTGGCAGTGGAATCCAGGACGCGCGTTTCGTCCTGTCTGTGACTCGTCAGCCGGATGTATCTGCATCCCAAAGTTGATGTTTGAGGCGAACAGTACTGGGTTCGAGTCCCGGATAGAACATATATATTTGCTTATGATGCTTGTGACTTAAGGCTATATCGAGGCAATCCATAAAGAATGCACATATACCAACATGAGACTGATCAATTTCAGTCCTAAATAACAATGGGAAGATACAAGTAAAACAACACCAAGTGAATTTAATTTGAATTTCCAGTTATATACTAAGTATAAGTTCATGTATTTATCTACCTAGGTGGCAATAAATTTATATACAGACTTACTGATAAATAAAATCAAGTAAGGTCTATAGAGTTGTATTTAAATTTCAAAATAATACATTTAAATGAATCATACTATTTTCAGTTAGATCTTTAGCAGATTTTAGTCTAATATATGGCAGTATTGTGGTGTATACTACTTATGTCGACATAAGTAGTACATAATATCAATAAGCAGTGGAATGATTGACAGTCAAAAGTTGAGACGATCGAATCGAATAGGATGGAAAGAGAGATTAATTGTTATGACAATGAAGTTTGAAACAATTGATTTTCAAATAAAGTATTGAACGTATAGCTTTCATATTTTATCAAAGAACTCCAGGGTGGTCTAGCTTAAATCGACTCATAAATTCAACTATTAAATAAACTCTGTAATATGGCTCACTGTACAAACTAAACAAGGTGAAAAGTTGTAGAAAACCCAAATGGTAATTCTTTGATAGTAGGGATTTGTAATGTCATATTGGACAGCACCTGAAACCTTCAGGTTGTCCAATGAAAATTAGTTTGATGGATTATATCAACCTGATTATTTGCTAAGTCAATCTAAATTAAGATATTTTGACTAGTCGTTTGACTCTAATTCAAACATCTTCATTCAATAACTTAAGTGTTATATCGTAACGAAGAATAAATGAATGATAACTTCTAGGAATTATTTATGGATTGTTATTTTATACATATGTTCTTATTGTATAACTGTTAATGAACTAAACTATATATATCTTATTATAAGCTTTTATTTGACCTATTGACTATTATTATATGATTTACTATTCTTAAGATATTTCCAGTTTATTAGTAAAAAACTCTCACAATCACAGCCACTTTTTGAATCTAACTTACTACGTATTTATACGTAGAAAACTACCAGAACCGTCATCAAAAAGGTACAAGTATTTAAAAATAGTTGCCTACGGAGGATACTGAATATCCGTTAGCCGTATACCATCAGCAACAGCCAACTGTGGAAGAGGACAAACCAACTTCCAGCTGAAGAGGAAATTAGGAAAAGACGACGGAAATGGATAGGACATACATTACGGAAATCATCAAACTGCATCACGAGACAAGCCCTAACTTGGAATCCTGAAGGGAAGCAGAAAAGAGGAAGGCCAAAGAACACTACGTCGAGAATCGGAAGCAGACACGAAAAGCATGATTAGCAACTGAAAAGGATTGACTAGGACAGAATGAGATGGAGGGTGCTGGTGGGCAGGCTATGCTCCTCTACGAGGGATAACAGGCGTAATTAAGTAAGTACATACATATACATTTATTCCTTATTCTATAGTGTTCACGATTAACTAGTTAATTTCATAAAACACTTCCTGCTTAAAAATATTTCAGAGATAATCCTTTTTTCTGAACTGGAAAAACATTTTCATGTTATCATTTATTGACGTGTTTACAATATGAAACATCAAGTTTAATGATATACATGTACATACATAGATGGATTAATTTTTTTAGAAGTAGATTCTTATGTCACGATAAGATAAGGTTGTATTGAATTTTCGAAAATTTTCACATAGAAAAATAACCTAATATAATTTGATTTTAACAGTTGAGATCATGAGTCAATTAAAGCTAGACCATCATGGAAAACATGGAAGAACTAGATGGCCTTTTAGCCCTAGTATGGGACTCCTCAGCAGTGCGCATCCACAACACCGCCCTTGCGAGATTCTGATCCAGGAACTATCAGTCTCGCGCGTGAACGCCTAACCTCTAGACCACTGATTTGACCAGCATCCAACGGTCTTAATGTCTAACTTCAACTAATCCGTGAAATTGAAAGACACATTCAACATTGTCATCAGTGAGTTACCATCTCACATCAAACCCGGTTGAGCTCCACTGGTAACGGCTTCTCACTAGAACTCCAAGAAGTACCTCTCGGAGACTGTCACTAGTGATCATATGATGATTATAATCGGAGAGGATTTTGTGGATATTATGGTAATTTTAATTTTTGACTAAGTTAAATTATTTGATATTTAGAAGAGTTTTATGCTTTTGTTAAAAATAGTTTTACATCAAGTTACTACAAACAAATGGAAATGTAAAACACAATGATAAACTACAATGTAATCTGATAACTATATAATAAAATTGTCAGTTAAGGCATAATAATAACAAAAAAACACAGAAGGAAGAAACATTAAACGGAAGTATATTAACGGAAAGGCATGAAAAACATAATTTAAACTTGAAATCAGTTTAAAACATTTGACATGCTCACTTCGAATTAATTGAAGGAACTGATCTAGTCAAAATCAATATTTTTCTCTTCTTAAGATAATGCCTATGATGTGATGATGTTTTTAAATGAATTGCCATGCTATATATTCATCATTTTAATGATTAATATCAGAAGGGGTTTTTGTGAATATTAATGTAGTTTTAATAGCTCAGATCATAAGCCAATTGAAGCTAGACCAACATAGAAAACCTGGAATCACTGGACGACCGTTTCGTCCATTACACACTGTTGAGGAGCCCCACAATAGGACGAAACGGTCATCCACTGATTCCAGGTTTTCTATGGTGGTCTAGCTTCAATTGACTCATGATCTCAACTACTAAAATGTTCATGTATGTTTTTTTTAGACCTAACAATAAATCCTTTACTATTGTTACTACACTTTTGTACAATTAATATGTTATGAATAATCTGTCGATCCTGTTAAATCTTCTATCAAAACTGGAAAGGTTAAGGTAAGTGATCAAAATTAATTTATGATTTTGTTACATAACTCTTATGATTAAATATAAGTGAAATATAAGACAGCAAGTAACATATTCAAATTTTCGTTTTTATTACCAATACTATATTACTGCAGTATATCATGAATAATAGTGATTACCAGGTCATCAGATAATGATCATCAGTGAAAAAAAGTTTAATATTGGGGTTTTATTAAGGTAATAGTCATTGTTAAAGTCTATCTAGCGTTAACATAATTCGTTTTCTCTTTGAATATGTTCATAATATTAAGATAACTGGTAGTAGTAGTAGTAGTAGTAGTAGTAGTAGTAGTAGTAGTAGTAGTAGTAGTAGTAGTAGTAGTAGTAGTAGTAGTAGTAGTAGTAGTAGTAGTAGTAGTAGTAGTAGTAGTAGTAGCAGTAGTAGCAGTAGTAGTAGTAGTAGTAGCAGTAGTAGTAGTAGTAGTAGTAGTAGTGTTAGAGACAATATCAAATTTGAGACATAAAATTATGAAGTTTTCACTTGATAAGTAAGTGATTTCTTAGTTTAATGAAAGATGTTCAGTCTTTATGTTTAAAGATATATTCCAATGATGTTTGAAATTTAAGATGAGTATCCATTACAAAATATATTCAAGTCAGTACTCAGTAAACACATTAGACCATTTGGTTGTACAGAAAAGTATTTCTTCTAGTCTTGTCTTCTCTAATATAGAATTCTCAATAGGTTTAGACCATTCAAAATTATTCATTATCATTTTTATTGTTATTATTCAGCAGAAAGTTTATAGTTTTCTAGTCAAAATAGATTGTATCAATCGTGTCGGGTGTTAGAAAGGTATCTACCCCTCCTCCCAAAAAATTGAAGAAGGTTACTCAATATCGTAGATTGGTTGAAGCAAGTCTTAAATACCATTGGATATCGGCTTAGTAGTCTAGAAACTATGTGTTCACAAACAAGAACGAAGGTGCTCATTGTTCAAAATTTCAATACTAAAATAAGACAGCTGTCTATTGTTTACAGGTTTCCAATGATTGTCTATCTTAAATTAATTCATAATCCCAATGAAATCTAATAACCTTTACAACCCAAAGTGACAAAAAAGAATAACTTTATTCGATTATTTTGATACTTTCTATGTTATTTAGAAAAAAAAACAGTATGCCACAAGGGTACTCATTATTAATTTGGCTATCACGCAAATGGTAAAACTAAAGTTCTTAATGGATTGTTTCTTACTTTCTTTTTCAAAACATATTAGAATTCACTCAAGTATCAAAAGGGTCCAAGTATACTAGCAGATTTGATGAATTGTTCTCCTGGATAAAGTCGACAGATTTCTGTGAGGTAGCCAATTATAAACTTCAAAAAGAATGCATTGACTAATCAACTGATAACAGAGTGACAATGAACACCTTAATCATTCGATATTGACAATTTAATATTGTCAACAAGTTTAATAATTGGAAAAATGCTTGTACGTAAAATATGTATGAACAGGCTTTTTTAAACATTAAATTCACTTTGTATTGTTTACTTGAATCTTTCATTTGATGTTTAGGACTGCAATTGATCTTATGTGCTCTTATTGATATATGTGCATCCTGTGTGGATTGCTTAGATATTGCCTAAGGTCACAAGTATTATAAGCATAGATGGATAGTGGCTAACAGTAGAATCTAGGACATGCGTTTCGTCCTATTTGAAACTCTTTAGCTGGCTGAACCTGTATCTCAGGATCGGTGTCCACTCGTGGACTCGAACCCAGTACCGTTCACTTCAAATACCCATATCTCATTGGTAAGTAATGACTATGAAGTTATCTGTTAGTTGTATGAACAAATAATACGTAACAACATCATAATTTAAAAAAAAGCAAACATTTTAGCATTTTATATTTGTTATTTTCTTTGCATATTATCAACATTCATATGATTCTTCAACTATATTTGACATGGATAAGTCAGTTATTGTCTACTTTTTGATCTTTACTATTGAAAATAAACCTGATGAATCGTGGAAAACTTTTTTACCAATAAATGAATCTTTATTTTTTTGAAAGGCAATATAATTTTTTTTCTTTTTTAAAAGTAGCTGATGGCAACATATGGAAATTGATGTCTATATCAAATCAATGATCTTTTTTATTTTATCTATTTACTTTAACGTTTCTTTTTCATTCATTTTCATTTAATGAATAGTTAGTATACATTGAATCTAAGCTTTTATCCGAGTAATTGTTTTGATGCATTTTAATCATCTTTATTGTTTTATGAAGAGATTTAATAAAGGAAAAGATTGAAGTTTAATTTAAGTGGATTAATATGTAAATATATGTATATCTACCGAGAATAGTGTCTATTTACTTGATAATTTCTTGGATATAATTCTTGATCTTTTTATAAGATAAAATGATGAAATAAGATTATGTCATTGAAATGAACATTTTCGAGATCGTAGATGAGCACTGCTAAGGTGTGTTATACTAGGACGAAACGGTTGTCCAGTGCTTTCAGGTTTTTAATGGTGATCTAACATCAATTAGTTCATGATCTCAGTCAAAAAGTTTGATAACTTGATGAAATCTCATTATGAGATGTATCTAGTTGATGGTTAATGAACAACTAGCTATTGTATAAAACGATATTCCAAAACACTTACTTACTTGCTTACTTACGCCTGTTACTCCTCGTGAAGGAGCATAAGCCGCTCACCGGCATTCTCCATCCAACCCTGTCCCAAGCAATCCTTTCCAGCTCTTTCTAGTTCTTATTCATCTTTTTCATGTCTGCTTCTATTTCCCGACGTAGTGTTCTTTGGCTTTCCACTTTTCTGCTTCCCTTCAGGATTCCAAGTTAGGGCTTGCCTCGTGACACAGTTTGATGATTTCCGTAATGTATGTCCTATCCATTTGCATCGTCTTTTCCTAATTTCCTCTTCAGCTGGAAGCTGGTCTGTTCTCTTCCACAGTTGGCTGTTGCTGATGGTATCCGGCCAATCGGTGTTGAGCATCTTGCGTAGACAGCTATTTATAAATACTTGTACCTTCTTGATGGTGGTTGTTGTAGTTCTCCAAGTTTCAGCTCCATACAGTTGAACTGCTTTGACGTTCGTATTGAAGATTCTCACTTTGATATTGGTTGAAAGTTGTTTTGAGTCCCATATGTTCTGCAATTGAATGAATGTGGCCCTTGCCTCGCCAATCCTCGTCTTCACGTCTGCATCTGAGCCTCCTTGTTCATCGATGATGCTTCCTAGGTATGTGAAGGATTCTACATCTTCCAGAGTTTCTCCACCAAGAGTGATCGGATTGCTGTTTTCCGCTTTGAATTTGAGGACCTTGGTTTTCCCTTTGTGTATGTTGAGGCTTACTGATGCAGAGACTGCTGCTACACTGGCTGTCTTTATCTGCATTTGTTTGTGTTTGTGCGATAGGAGGGCTAGGTCATCTGTGAAGTGCAAATCGTCTAGTTGGTTCTGAGCTGTACATTGCATTCCGTGTTTTCCCTCGGACGTCGAGGTCTTCATAATCCAGTCGATCACCAGAAGAAAGAGGAAGAGATATAGTAGACAGCCTTGTCTGACTTCGGTCCTTACTTGGAATGCGTCTGTCAGCTATCCTCCATGAACGACCTTGCACTGTAGTCCGTGGTATGAGTTCCGGATAATATTGACAACTCCGTAGTGTCGAAGAAGTTTCCATAACGTCCTCCTATCTACACTGTCAAATGCCTTTTCATAATCAATGAAGTTGATGTATAGTGATGAGTTCCACTCAATTGATTGTTCGACGATGATCCGTAGTGTTGCAATTTGGTCTGTGCACGACAGATCTTTACGGAATCCAGCTTGTTGATCTCGAAGTTGGGCATCCACTGCATCTTTCATCCGGTTCAGCAAAACTCTGTTAATGACTTTTCCTGGTACTGACAGTAGTGTGATTTCTCTGTAGTTTTCACATTTGCTCAGGTCTCCTTTCTTTGGAATCTTGATGAGGTGTCCTTCTTTCCAGTCCATAGGCACTTGTTCCTCCTCCCAAATCTTTTTAAATAGAAGGTGGAGCATTTTTGTAGTTACTTCGATGTCTGATTTCAGTGCTTCAGCTGGTATATTGTCGGGTCCTGTTGCTTTCTCTCTCTTGATTTGTCTGATGGCCATTCTGATTTCTTCCGTCGTTAGTGGATTGACATCCAAAACAACTGTAGTTGTATGTATTATCTTTTTTTTTCTGGTTGGAGTTTTTTAGCAAATTAGTTTTCTACAGGATGGGGTCGCTAACCCCGTGTCCAACCCTTCTCCGGGCTTGGGACCGTCATTAGCTCCAAAGGGGCTCTAGGCGGAGTTATCAACTATTTGATTATGAATAAATAAACCACAAGGATACTGTTTAGAGTAAGATTCACATAGCCTGAGTTTAATTCAGTTTAATCTCATTGATGCTTAATGTTATGTTGTTGAGGTGAGATAATTTTCAAATATTCGCTAGATTTCGATGATACATCAGTTTTGTGTCATCCCTTGATGCAAACATTTTTCATATTTTAAGTTATGAAGTCAACCAATCCCACTTATTTAGATAAATTATTCCATTATTAAAAAAATTAGAAAATATTTGAACGTTGATTTATGTAAATGGCGCTTGAAATGACAAACTTCATTAGAAATTATTCACTCTTGATAATTATAGTTCGTGGTTGTCTCAACCTATCAAGTCTTAATAACCGACGGATTCATGAGATCATACAAAGATGGCCATTCTCTGAAGTTGCTCAACTAAAAAGTCTAGTAAATTTAGAAAAACATACATTGTATATTCATACTATATAAGTATTATTTCACATATGTGCACTATCCTATACTAACCATTTAAACTATTAGTCAAATATAACTTCGCCTTTATCAGATATCCGTAATCTTCAAGAAAAATAGGTTTCAAGCAAAGATAGATAGTGGATAGCAGTGGAATCCAGGATGCGCGTTTCTTCCTATTTGAGACTCATCAGTTGGATGTACCTAAATCTTAGGATTAAAGTTCACTCTGAGACTGGGACTGTTGACGAGTCTCATGCTAGAACAAAACGATCATCCAGTCCTTCCCGGTTTTCCATGATGGTCTAGCTTAAATTGACTCATAAATTTAACTAATAAATTACTATAATATCCTCAACCCTCCTCTGATTATAATTCGGTTTAGTTGAGTAATATTCATATAATCCATATAAGTTTTTCATGGTAGTTATGATTTTTTTCTAAATGAATTCATTGAAGTCCATATTTACTTACCTGCCCTAAGAACCATCAAATAAATTATATTCAGTAATCAGTTTTATTTCTGCTCTGATGAAACATAAAATGATCAATTGAGTAGAAAACACTTATAAAAAAACTGAATTTTTGATTGAGATCATGAACCGATTGATGTTAGATGACCTTTGGAAATCTGGAAGCACTGGACGGCCGTTTCGTCCTATTGTGTGACTCCTCGGCAGTGAGCATCCACGATCCCGCTCTCGGAATTCGGACCCAGGGCCTTCAGTCTT